TTTGTAAAGCATATCTTGGAAAGAGGTTACTGCTAGCAACATGATTTGTTGCACTGTTCGTGGACCTGGCTTATTGTTCTACACACTTCCACCTAATTTGGTATCTAATTAGGTATTACTCATACAAGAGGTCATTCATGTCAAGAGGAGCAATAGCTTTCAGAATAATTTGATCCTTTCCTACATATATTAACATTTTCCCAAGTACTTCTCCAGCTATTTGAGATGTAAACCACTACTTCAAGTACTGCCACTTCATTCAATGCTGAAGCAGCTTTGTGGCAGCAAAAGCTGGGAATCGTGCTGTAGCAATCCTCAACCAGCAGCTTTGCTGTAATCCAAGCAGGATCAGGTGTGGCTGGAGCAAGAAAAAAAATTGTAGACACAAGTTAAAAGTATTTCACCCCAGCATTGGCTGCTGGGTGTAAATCTCATGGTGAACATTCTCTAAAAAAGTGGTTTCTGGAGACTTCTGTCTTGAATTTGGCTGGCTGCAAGTGTGGGGAGAAAGGAGGACAAGACAGAAAAATACTGCAGTAGGAAAAGAAAGGGGGGTTATGACAAAAATCCACCTTTCGGTGGTGCTTGGAGAAACTTCGCTGACACACGGTTCCACCACTCCAGGTTGAGTTGCCTCACTACCAGCAGTGCTACCTTCTCAACTATAACCCAGGCACAGATTCCTTAAGACTCATGTCCCAACAAGTAGTATCAGGAAGCGTTGTCATAAAAATTCAGCATCTCCTTTCAGCTGAAGCTGTATCTTGTCCTTTAACCCAGACGGGTGGTCACAACAACATAAGTAGAACCTGTAGGAGTTTGATCTGCAGAACTGATCAGCCAAAAATCAAATGTCAGAATACCCAAGTATATAGTAAATTGCCCGTTTTCCTCAGATGTTTGACGAGCAAGGAAAAATACTAAATTATTTCTGGGATATTATGTATATACATGAATCTCTATGCTTTGCTAGTCTGGCTTAAAATAGAGAACAAGTTTCTAAATGTTAACCCAAAGAAAGTGGAGAGGAAGATTTAATGTCTTGCTGCCTTTTTTTTTGTAATTGCTCTGAAAGAGTAGGCCATAAAACATTTGCCAAACAATCATACTAGAAGATTTCATTATGCCTTTGCTTATTTTTTAGGGTTTACCACTTAATAAACTCTCATTAACCTAAGGAAACAAATGAATAGAAAACATATGAACCTTTTCAAGCTTTGAAGGGGTAAAGCATTAAGCTGTGAAAGTAATTACCAAGTAGCTAAACAGTTTGATTTGACAGAAACTAGAACAGTTTTACTGTGGAAATATGAAATCTATACAGATTCAAGATTTTGGGTTTGCATCTAAGATGAGGGCATCAGAAGTCACGTTACTTTTCTACTGATAGTTTCTACCACATGAGAAGGCACCAGTGGATGTGCAGGTCTTAAAAGTTGAAAGCTTCATGCAATCATGCCCGAAGTGCAAATGTAGACCTTAGCATAAACAAAACTCTACTTAACAGCTTAAACTGTAGAGCAGTCATTTTTTGCCTTTGTAGTTAACTGTATGTTACAGAACAGTATCTGTGCATATTTGTTTTCAGGTTACTTTTTCCAGAATCCAGCAACTAAATAAATGGAGCATTTTGAGAGGAAAAACTCATCATTAACTTGCCTCTCTTTTAATTAAAAACAAAACCAAAAACCAACACCTTTTTAAATATAAAGCATTTGAGATGGTGATGAATTTGAAGCAGATGCTGAAACAACTATGCTCAGGAGCCTGCAGTTCATACTCCCGAGACCAAGTGGTAGAACTCATTTAAGGCCAGGTTCCTCTGTGCAGAGAACTATGCTTATACACATGTACATAATAGACATGTTGCTGTGATTAATTTCATGCAGGGAGGAAGCTGTCTGTATGGGCTCTGTCTGTCATTGTTTAGCCCTTAAAATAAAGATCAGAGGCAGGAATAGTTTTCCCCACAGTGGCAAGTGGCAAATGTTCAGGGCATCCTAATAGCACCTTCAAGCAGAACCATGCCCAGGGCTCCCGAGAAAGAAGAACACCCAAACCCGTCCCTGTTTCATCTGAGGAGGTGGCCCCTGAAATGGAAGCATCCCCTCACCTCTCCCAGTATCTACCCAAACCACCCCAATTGAGGATGCAGCCTTTCTGGCCTCAACAGGGACCAGTGATGGCCTCAAGCAATGTTACTTCTACATTTCTGAACGCAAGAGGGGAGGCGATGTCCTAGCTGGGTGGTGGAGACATGCCAGGCCCAGCATGGCTCAGGGGGAAACTGGTTTCAAAGTCAAGCAGCTAGGTGTAATTCAGCCAAGCACAGCTTGCTTCTTTTTCATGGAGGGGCTGTGACTGTGCAAGTAGTGCAGTAAAAAAATGAGTATTTAACCCTTGCTGGGAAAAACAGCAGGTAGGTCAAAGTTGTTGCAGGGACACCAACGTACCCTGAAACTCTTTCTACACCTTTCACAAGCTTTCTCTCATCTCCCACATTTGACAAAAGTTAAAAAAAAAAAAAGGAGAAAGGAAAAAAAAAAAGCCTCAGAACAAAAAACCTCCAGAAGAAACACATCGAGGATGCCTGTAAATGCCTTTTGCTCAGTAGGGCTCAAATCCCTTGAAATCAGTCACATATAGCAGACTTGATCCCTCCCACACTCCTTTTCACTGTGTCTCTCCCCTGACAGGAGAAGAGGCACATGGCACTCCCCTCCATCCCTCCAGCAGACCACCATTCCCTTCAGCAAGGATTTACACCCACGTGTGTAGGACAGAAATTCTCCTTGGTGAGCACTATCAAAGTTCAGCTTTATGCTGACAACGAAATAAAAAAAATCAAAAAGAAGTAAAAAGGGTAGTACCTACTTTACATGAAACATTTATTTTCTTCTAAATAATGCCTTCTGAAATCCAATAATTTCCAGTTAGGAGAAAATAAAATAGTTTTGCTGCAAAGATGACAGGACATTGCCAAAACTTCTCATATGCTTCTGAGAAAAGACCTTTCAGAAAGTGAGGCCATTTTCCTAGCCTCATTTCTAAAAAGGTGTTGTAAGCTGACGGAGCGTTGCTCTGTTACAGCATCTTTGACAGGATGCATCACAGCACTCTTTCTACAGCTAAGAGTGACTGTAGCAGTTGTACCAGGATAAATACACATAATCTATACATCAAAATACACACAACACACAAATTTAGCATGAAACAAAACAGTTCCTTCAGTTTTTGAAGATTCATCTTGCCCAGAAGCATAAAGCCTGACTTGTGTGCACCAGTGTAGCAATTCTTTAATGCAAGAGATGGACGCAGCCCAAACCACTACAAGAAACCTTTTTAGAGTTAGGAATGTTGCTAATTGAATCAATTTGCTATGCTTCATTTATGTTGATGGAACAACATGCCAGAAATTTCTAAGTCCCTGTAAAAAGACTGTGCCTTCCTCCAGGCTGGGATCAGTTTCCCACAGCAGAATTCCTCGGTTTCAAAGAAAATTAGGTAACCCATGCTTACTTAATCGCTGGGAAGCTATACGTTATGAAAGATAAACCAATCACTAAGTTGGATGTAAAAAGACACCTACACTAAAGAAATTAATCCTGTAATTCAACTAGCTTCAAAGTTTTGGGGGAAACCGATTTGGTCCCATCTTTGTGTACACTGCACCCCACAATTAAGATGCTGGCTGGTGACACAGATGAGGGTTATCCAGCATTTTGCTTCCTCCTTGCCTCCCAACACCATTCACATACTTAAATGTATTCTCTGTCACACTCACAAGTATCCCCGGTTAGTATCTTCAGAGTAACAATTTTTTTTTTCCCCTGGGGTCAAGCAGTTGAAGTCTCAGTATCAGTCTGGTGTCAATAACAATAAAAACAACTTTTTAATTTCTTAGTGGTACACTACAAATTTTGCTCTAATCCAAAGACCAGTAACTCAGCTCTTAATTTATCTGGAAATTGCACTAGACTATTCACATATGTGCTTAAAAATAAAACAATTGCTGAATGTTTTGATAGACTGAGATTGCCCAAACCTCACAGATTCGAACCCAAGAAGTATCCTTTCAGCTTTGATGCTTTGGACAACAAAACCGGCCACTTCTGTTTGCTCTTCCGAAAAGCAGACTACATTTGGGCCTGGAGTTTCTGAACTGCTGTCCTCCTGTGGATGCCCACCTTTCAGTTAAAGGTTAACCAGACTTAGAAATTTTTCTTTTTAGATAAAGACCACTGCATGGGAACTAATCCAGAATGGCACAATCTCAGTGAAAATCCAAACAACAAGTACTTTAATCTACATTCATATTAAGTGGCAATTTTGCAGAGGGCCTAGGGACTGTCCAAGTTTCCTACGCCTTCCAAGAGTAGATCTGACTAATTCAGCCTAGGATCCATTCCCATCAATTACTAGGATCCTCAGTAGTGAGGATTTCAAACAATATTTTTTATGTGCATTAAACTTGCCTCAAAATAAATAAAAGCGTAAATCACGAAAGCAGTCAGTATGTACTGATTCCACGCACTTTAATTTAGAACAAAAAAGGGCTCCACACATTTTCATAAAGGTCTCTTCTGGGCTGAAGGACTAGTCATAAAGTGTACTTTTATGCTGTTATCCCTGAAAATAAATTAATTTGGAATTCAATTGTATGTGTCAGTTGGACATGAATAAATTACAAACATCACGACCCTACCGAGAAGCCACTGAACCATTTACTTTTATATGAAAGCTTCAAATATTTTACAACCCTTCTCTCCAGTGGTCTAAACACATGCCTTTAAAAACAGCAGTTAATACCACATCACTGGCTATGCAGGAAAAAGGACACACAGAGTCAGCAGTGTATTATCCCAGCAAACTAGATTCTCTAGAAACCCATTTGCTATCATATAGGGTAATGGCGTAGCTATTCACAGTTAGACATCAAAATACTCAAGGTTGAGCTTACACACACACACACAAGACAGACATACACTAATTACTCCAACTGGTAATATCATTATATTTTATTTTTTAAAAAAAATTAAGTCACAACTTTCTCTTAATGAAGGGCAAGATGGAATTTGTGTCTGAACTCTTACTCTAAACATAAGCACAGTGAAAGTCAACCTTAGACTGGAAACAACTGTAAACTAAGGTTTATATACCAAAAGCTGAGTTAAAATAGAACAAATAAAAATACCAGTCAAGAAGCATCATATTCTTCCTTCAAAGATCAAGAGGTTGTGAACAAAACCCAACCTCCATTATGTTTTATTCAGTTGGTTAGAAAGAAGATGAACTAAAAAAATTCATCTAAGCAACTGCAGAAACAAGCTAGAAGGATGAGACAGCCTTGGATTTCTCTTACAGACTTCTCATTTCTTTTCAATAAAAGTGAGAAACGTTAACCAGGTGTCTGCACAAATGTACTACTTCGATAAAAATGTATTGTGTCAATTCAGTTACCTGAGAAAATAGTTTTCAGTATTGCAGAAATTTTTTTAAGTTCTCAAATGACATTAAAATAACTCGGTACACCTTGAAATCCCAGTAACCAGCCAGAGATCTAGGAATACACATTTCTATATTAAAAGTGATAAACATAAGCAGAAAAACACCTGAAACAATTAAAAGGCACTCTTAGCTGACACATGTTTTGCTACATGCTACAGAAGACAAGTCAGATATTAAATTATACTGAATCTTACAGTGGTCCAAGCAGTATAATAGTATACACTGTTAAATACACATACTTGACCATATAAATAGTCAATTTGCAATGCCAGCATAGTTAACACAGGAAGAAATTTTTTTAAAAAATGTAAACAGTAAGGTTTCTAGTAAAGATATTTTAATTTTAGGTATTATTATATGTTTAATGTTACTGCATGCAACACTATAAAAGTTTTATAGCACCTCTGTGTATCACTAGGCAAGAAACAGTCATGATAAGACATTTGGAGAGAAATTCTCAAGTCATCAAGTCTAGTGCTGCATGCAAAATGGCAAACATCCTCAGTAACTGCACACCTGGACAAGCCAGATGTTTGTATATAAAAGACAACTTTATTCAGATACCCGTAGTCTTCTGCACAAAGATCTGACCCTCAAGTTTTAAAAGGCACAGCAACTGAGAGGTATGCTAATGATGGCACTTAAAAATAAGACCTATTATTTACCCGATTTCAAGAGGTGCTTTCAAAGGCAGCTGGACAAATGAAGTATAAGTCCCTCTAGGAATCAAGAGCTGTCCCCACCATCATTTCAACATAGTTGTTGAATTTAGACCGATTAAAAAAAAAAATTTAAAAATCTAGGCTTTCCTTATGGATTCACTCTCATTCTTTGCATTTCAGGGAAACTCCCTGCTGGAAACAATCCATTTTCTTTACCCTTTTTTTTTTTTAACCTTTATTTAATAACTAAGCATCTTTAATAGATTAAGTGAAAAGCATTAGCAAATGGATGACAACAGCATTACTTGTCCATTGAAACCTTACTCTTACTTGAACTAAAAGCGCAAGATATTAATAAAATGTGAAAGCTACAGGCATCAGAACAGAGCACAAACTGGTTTAGACTTTTGAAACTTTTTTGTAAAAAAGCAAAGAAAATAGTGTCTTTGGTGCAAGCTCACACAGTGCTATCTGAGTATAACAACATCAGTTGGAAAACAGAGAAAACCCATAACTTCACTTCTGAACTAGAAGAGCCCAAGCTCAAGCATTCACCCCAATTTACATCCATGGAGCTCTTCCAGGCAGCATACATGGTCTTTCACTACATTTACATAACCACCAGCATGCTGAATATGATGAATTTTCAAGCAGCAAGTGGTGGAAATAACAGCATCCCCTCCTTTGCTCAGAAAGCATATTGCTTAGACATCTGTGCAACCTAGAGCTGCCTTGAGATGGTGATGTAGCCTACATCTTCCAAGAGTCACCAACCAACACTCAGGAGCAAATGAATTGTGAAAGGAGGAAATACTGGACAAAACGCTCTCCCCACTCTTAATTGCCACAGTTTAAACTGGCAGTTAGGAATTCACTTTCCTGAGGGCTTTATAATAAAAAGCAGGAGCATACCTTTGTCACCTGTTTCACAACCAGAAGTGCATGCAGTCCTGGAGTGTCTCGATGGCACTGAGTTTGCTAGATGTTCACTCTAAAACTGAAAGCTACCAACAGTTGAAGTTTTTTTAAAAAAACAAAACAACCAAGACCACACACACCACAACATCAAAACACATTTAAAAATAACACTCCTCTGCAGGTGTAAGGACAGGGGTCTAGGAAAAAAAAACTATTTCCACAGGAAACTGCTATAGCTGGTGTAAAATTACTCCACTAAACCATCCTGTTCCTTATTTTCCAGCAAGGACATGCTTGTATCTCCATTATTCTTCTCATTTTTATCTCCATTGTCCTCTGATTGCTCTGATTTCTGGTGAGCAAATGTGTAAGTGTCATGGTCTGTGTCTGTCAGAGGTAGAGGTTCCTCGGTGTTAGAAGAGCATTTAATGTCTTTTCTGAAGGAGAATGGAGGTGGAGAAGGTGGCAAGCTACCAATGGGTCCATCAAAAGGCCGGTACACATCAACTTCTGGAGCAACTGAGCCATTTGATTCCTTCAGCAAGTGCCCGTAGACCATAGCATCATCAATAACTGCATAGACATGAGACTCATTGTTTTTCCTCCCTTTCGTGAATAAGCCTTGTTTTCCAGGCACTTGGGTATTCACGTTATCATTGTACACTCCCACCATGGGATTCTGACTTTTCTTCTTCCTGTTCCAGAGTTGAAATTGTTAACAGGTCAGGAACAACACATGGCAGATGCGTTTGAACTCAGTATCAACAGCTCCTGTTTACCCATCCCAGCCACCCAGCACCAGGCAGTCCACCTGGATTGAAGGCTCTACTTGCAATCTTAGGAAAAATAACTCTTGAGTCTAGACATGCTTTTTTAGCAGAGCAGAAAATAACTGCATGCCATTTGGCTACCTACTGCTGCTCTGCTGATCCTGAAGTTTGTGAGATTAATTCCAATGGCCTCCGAAGCATGGGGGTTCCAGCTGTGCGATGTACCATGTCTCTCAACATCCACAGACATTAATAGGGCCTAGAGGCCATCAGATCCTCACAAAACAAGGCTAAGCATTACTGAAGACAATTAAGATAGCGGGTCCTCTATGAAAGTTGAATGACCTTTTCTGAGTTACACTTACTGGAGCAACTGTCCCCAAAGTGGAAAGACCAAAGGCTGAACTGAATGTTTTCAAGCCTGTATTTGTCAAGTCTTTCACGTGTAGCAGAGAAGTAAGCTCATGACTGCTCTAGTCATCACATTGCACAAACTCATTCCAGCTCTACAGCTTCAAAACCCAGTCACCCCACCAGCACCAAGCATACACATATCAGGAACCCCAAGCTATCGATGACTTCAGACTCTGCCTGCATGAGTAATGCTGTGCATGTTTGCTTTGTACAACCTAGTTCTCTTCCCAAGGCCTCATCTCGCAGAAAACTGCTCCCACTTGATGTGCAAACACGGTAAGCTGCTGCTGGAGGTTGTGTAGATGAATGATAGCTCCTAGTGTATCTGGGTGAGCTTACAGCTTGTTTGAACAAAGTCTCATCTAGAGTCACACGTGCAGCCACCACACTCATTGCAATTTCATTTCACAGGAATTGCTGATGAGGTCAAACCAATACCTTACCTACAGTACAGCCAGAAGCCTGCGCTAAGGCCAAGGTAGGCAAGGCACTGGGGGTTGAAGTAATGCGACTCCAGGAATGCTGCTCTACTCTTCAAGTCAGGCAATTTAGAATAAAGCTGCATTCCTGGAGTCACACTACTTCCACTACCATTGCCTACCTCATGCTTCAGACCCTTGCTTAAGGGATCTATATCAATGTGTGAAACAGAGGGCCCAGCAGCTCTCCAAAAATGCCTTCTTGAACTGCTAAGTTACACATGCCAAATTATTAACTTACTTCTTCTTAACACAGAACACAGTCAGTCCAAGCGCTGCAAGAACTCCGGCCCCGGCCACCACAGCAAGTATCACTCCTAGGTCTGCAAACAGACAAGGTACAAGGACACTGAGCAAGAGAGAGACAACATCCAGCTTTCTCCTAAAAGCTGTCTGGGTTTGAACCTCCTCAAGAGTTTCTAAGCATACCAGCTGCCTGCAGAGCAGGAGTTTCCGAGCTGTGCTCACCATGGGGCAATGCAAGCCACTTCCAAGAGGCTGGAGGCCAAGCAACGACAAACTCCTGCTGCTAGCAGTGGAGCACAGCCAAAACACCCAACCAACCCACGCCACTTCCAAGAGTTCAATACAGCTCACATGCTGCTGAACTTAACCCGCTGCCTCTCACATGCCTCTGGCTGAACAGGCAGGGAAGAAAAGAATGCAGAGAGAGACAGAGAAGGATATAACAGAGGAAATAGTGACGTTTCACCAACTCCCCTCAATACCATCCTTTCCTCTGAAATACACAAGTTGTGTTGACCTGGGGTTTTCTAGAAGTCTTAAAATTGATGAGGAAAGTCCATGCGTAAGCAAAGAAAAATGACATGTGTATTAAAAGTAGTATGTATTACAAAAAAGAGGAGAAGTTAGAAATTAATTTGATACTGTCTCAGTTCTAGCCTGTGTGGCCAATACTTACACAGACTGCAGTCTCCCACGGGTGAAGTGCAAATGTGAAGTAAATTTACCTAAGTAATACCTACCCTAAAAAGCAAGGAAACAAATGGAAAGCAAACCACCACAACCTTACAGGACTCACCTATCTGCTTGTCAGCAAAAGTCACCCGGAACTGCAAGGTCAGCTGCATCTTATCCACGGGTTTACAGTTGGAGACATTTACCCAGAAGTTGTGATACATATTCCGGGGCTCGGGCAGAGGTTCATCCTCACGGCGCACGGTTTCCTCTGCTCCCAACGTCTCTTCCTTTATGTTGACATAGGCACGGCCCGTCTCGCAAGCAATGCCCATGCGGTCCTTGGAGAACCCAAGGTGGGCAACTTGCTTGCTGGGCACGACAATGTACCAGGATATGGAGACGTAAGGAGGTAGACCATAAGGCCAGTTGGGAGTCTGCAAGTAAACTTTAGCTTTTGGATCTGGACTCACAGTGAAAGTGCACTCATCTGTAGTAAAGGAAAAGAATAAAAGGAATGAAAACTTAGTTTTGATACTTTCTTTTTTTTAAAGCTTTCTCTTTCAGCATGTAAAATTGTCTGGTCTTTCTTCTCCATAACAAAAAAGCATCACTTATACCTGTGACCCGCAAATTTATAATCAATTGCATCTCAGTACCAGCAAAAAAACTCACCTGTCATCCCCTCCCACATCAGTAATTATCACGATAAGCACAGATATACCTGCAGAATTTCCCACAACCAACTATGCACCACGTGGGGTACAAAGTTCCTTCCTTCTTCCAGGAATAAGCTACCTCACTGCTACAGATAAAAACTGATCCTAGCAATGGATCCAGGACTAGACTCTAAAGAATTGAACTCTTATTTCTATTTATATATTCTCTAATAGGCGTATTCAGAGCTCCAACATGGTACAACAAAGTAGTACAAAACATTAACTTACCTTTAATATGTGGTACAAAAGACATTTTCAGATCCTGATAATTAGACTCATTGAGGAATCCTTTACCAAATGTTTTTAAGGATATGGTGATATTATTCCTCATCTGAACCTTTTCAATGGATCCACCAGGACAGAATACACCAACATTCAACTCTGTCTCAGGGGTGGCACTAACAATGCTGTAACTGTAGCTCGTGTTGCACCTCTGCTCTGGGATGTGTTGCTGAAGCTTCAAGGATGGAGACGTAATTTCTATGTTGATCAGGTCGGGAGCCAAGAGCTTCCAAATAAACTTATGCAGTCGAATTGGCAATTGGGTAATAGCCTTGGGCACTGAAAGGGAATAGATCTTCCTCTGACACCACCGAAGATCGACACAGCCTGCAATCACAAAAACAAGTCCCAAGGGTTTTATTTTTCTTGCAGAGGAAGTATCTAGAAAAATCAAGTTTTCCTGCGTACCAGAGCATGCACACACAGAGTACTGTCGGTTTTGTGTTACAGACCCAGAGAAGTATCTGCCTGAGAAAATTTACTCAAACATGTACCAGTTGTATTTTAAGAGCTTTCCTTAAACAGGTGGAAAACACCAAAGAAACCAACAGATACAAATATACTCAAAATCCCTCAAATCAAAATACTACTTCTATATCACTTGCTGACTGGGAGACTGTTGCAGACTAGTCAAGGCCCAGATACATACTTTAAAACTCCTTCTCTAGCGGTAGCTGAAAGCATTTAGGAAAATCCTACGCTAAGTGGACATGCAAACAGCACGAGGTGCATTCCAGACGGCCACCTTGGTCCTGCATTTTCATGGGCAGATTTATGGCTCTCCTGCTCTCTTTCCATATTTTGCATTTTTCAGCAAAAAGATTCTTAGGTGCCTTCTGTTCTTTCCCTTCTAGGAATAGCTACACGGTTTCTATTTTTAAAGGTAGAATGAGGTAGTGAACAACAAGGTCACCTCCAGATTCATTGTACCCATCTCCCAACTGGCCAACACCTGGTTTCCAACCACACTCAATTTAAAGCCCAAGTGAGAGAAAAGGTTTGGGTGACCCTGGGGAAAAGCATGCAAAAACGTCCCCTGGGAAACAACGTTAAGCCACTTTTGTCATACTTATGCCTTTTTCAGCTGTGATCCTCAGACGGGACAAGTCCTTGCAGAGAAAGGAGATCTTGTAGACAGCTCCAGACACTAAAGTCAGGATGCGGTCGCAGGTGCGAGGATCCTTGCAGATCAGGCACATGGGTTCAGACATGAGCGGGATGCGGCTGGGCCACCCTTCAAAGTGTATCGTTACTGTCATATTCCACTCCTTGCTCAGGTCGACCAAATGGGTGACGTCTGCAATGAAAAACATCCCAGAGCAATTACTGGCAAGAAGCGTGGCGTGAAGCAGAACTTCCTCCATCTCTTCTCACCCCACTAGACAAACAGCTGTCATAGCTACTTCTGCGTTAACTAAGAACACATATTTACTTCTTTCCATCAGTGCAATACAAACTCAGGCAGTATCATATCACTCTAAATTAGAGGTTTGAGCCTTTCCACACACAAACCCCATTTTCCCTACCACTTTCCAGCTATAACAGGGTAACACATATGCTAGACCCTTTCAAACGGGTTAGGCTATAATGTAAAGGGCTCAAAGATGTTGGATTTGTTTTCCTTCAGAGGTTTCTTGTATTTCTCTTAAAGTCAGTTCTACCAATCACACAACAGTCGATCAGAAAAAGCACTGACAGCAGGCTGAGCAAGTCAAGTTTCTCTCCCCCTCTGCTAAAGCACTGTTGAAACATCCGCAAGTGCTGGGTCAAAATCTGTGCTCCCCAGTACAAGAGAGACATGGATGTATTGGAGTAAGGCCAGCAAAGAGCCACAAAGATGTTTAAGGGATATAAGCATCTCTAATAGGAGAATGAGAGAGCTGGGACTGTTTAGCCTGAAGAAGGTGGCTCGGGGGAATGTGTGCATGTGTGTGTATGTGACATAGTGCCAGACTCTTCTTAATGATGCCCAGTGACAAGGCAAGAGGCACAACCAAAATACTGGAAATTATGCTTAAAAAAAAAAAAAACAAACAAAAAACAAAAAAACAAAATGAAGCAAGGTTGTTCAAACAGTGGAACAGGCTACCCAGAGAAGTTGTGAAGTCTTTGCAGATACTCAAAGCCCAACTGGACACAGTCCTAGGCAACCTGTTCTAGCTGACCCTGCTGGAGCAGGGGTGTTGGACTAGATGATCTCCAGAGGTCCCTGTCAGACAGAATTCTCCAAGTCCTTGGCACAGCCAAGCACAGAACTGAGGGTTTCTACTGCAAGGTTACTCATTCTTCAGAATGTTTTTTTTTTGCAGCAGCAGCAGCTAAACAGAGAGGGTTAGATCAAGAAGTTATTTCAATTGGAAAGAGCTATATTTCCCTCTTATGTAATGACAAGCACCTCAGACAGCTGTGAAATACCCAAATGTTTGGGAAGCTTTGAGCATATGCAGATACCAATGTATTTTTAATAAGAGTCGTGTTTAACTTGCACACTGCAGATAGCATTTTTTGGTTTTGGGTTTTGTTCGTTTGGTTTTTTAAATAAAAAGTTTCAATACTGTCCTGAGGGCTGAATTTGAATCTTTGATGGAACTTATATAAGTACAAAATCACTCATTAAATCCTACAAAATCCCTAGAGAAACCACTGTTGTCTCTTAAATCCAAGTGGTTTATTACTTACATTTAATTCAATAAATGACAACCTGTTTTTTATTTTTTAGGTGATTACCATCTTGTCTACGGGCCATAAATATATTAAAATTCTTCTTTGCTTTCCAAAGTAGAAGGCAGATAAAGCTGATTAACTGAATACAATGTTTTCACTCAGTCTAGCTTCCAAGATGCAACACACAATAAATGTAAGTAAACATGGATTTGGTTAACAATGACTTCAGGAGAATTTGCTGTTCATGAATGGAGCCAGGCTAGACAGACAAGGAACTCAGAATTACAGTGGTGAGATGCTACACACCCTTTCTGGTTACATGACTTCAAGGTACAGGCCATTCAAACTTTATGCTCTCTAAAATTACTTAGAAAGTCTTTAAGTAGTCCCTCCTGCAGTGAACTTTCCTCCAGAACATGAGCTTTCCTCCACCTGCTCCTCTGCAGAGAGGGCACCTTGATTATTAACCTCCACCATGAACTGATGTCAGAGCTAAGAAGCCAGAGGATAATTCACTAACTTCATAGCTTATTACCTAGCCAGGCCTTTTATTTCTGTTTTTAGATAAATGCTCTGGTATTACAAATCATTGTGTTAAGCCAGTCTGAATTTAGGGCAAGTAAACAGAAAAAAAAAATAATTTTCTTAGTGTAGCAACAAGCTGCAAGAAACCTAAAGAACGTCCAAATGTGTAGGGGATATTATCACTGGAGTATCTCATTGACACCTTCCATGCCTAGTGTGACAACTTCACACTAGAAGATGTTCAGGCTTCCCCAGAAAGTAAAATAAAACTCAGAGAAAGGAAGAAAGGACGGAAGAAAAGAAGCGCATATTGATGCCGTTAGTAGTTTGAAGACAATTTTACATCTCCAATTTCATCAGTTCATTCTGGGGATCCTGACCAGCCGTGACAGCAGGTTTCACCTGGATAAGCACGACTGCTTACGTTCAGAGCAGAAACCTGGGCTCACAATTTAAGAATTATCTTTAAATTGTTGAATCCTACAGATGAAAACAGAACTGTCCGAATAAGCCTGAACTTGATTTCTGTACTGGAAAACAGGCGGCAACATGTGAGCCCAGACAATTCCAATCAAGCAGTTGCTGCCCTTGCCAGATTGGGCTTGTCTTGCTGGATTGGGCCCCAGAGGGAACACGGTCACAAGGAAAGGCTCTCTTGTGCTTAGCTTTGTTTATACAATGTGGAAGACTTGATACTGCAGGCGTTAAAGGCATTTTTCAATTGCATGATGCAGATTCTGGAAAAGGAAAGGAATCTCCATTTACAAGCTACAAGCTAAAATCTACGATAGAGCTTTACACTCCATTGGAAATTACAAATTTTAGCACTGCCATCCGCCTTGCCGTAACAACAGCTGGAGGTACCCAGGGTGGTAAAACAGGCCTTGGCATTGCTTGGCAACCCACCTCTTTAAATACAAGGAGGGTCCAAGAAAAAACAAAAAAAAAAAAACAAAACACAAAACTCCCAGTATTCCTCGTGGTGCTCAGCCCAGTTATCTGTAAGCCAAAGCAATGGAAAGGGCAGGTAGGTACTTACTCTCATCAACCTGAGGGTGCTGAACGACAACCTGGAAGAGCAAGCGGAGGATGCCCGGGTTCTGGGCATCCTGATCGCAGCCCTGCAAGGACAGGTTGAAACTGCCAGCTATATTGGCAGGCTGGCTGTCACTCAGCTTGAACACCTCTGGGTTGCTGAGGGAGCCAGGGATGTAGTACTCCACCCTCTCCTCTTTCCTTTCGCAGTTGGAGAGGCTGTAGTTGTGGAAAAACACGCTTGCTCTCATGTTGGAGGGGATCACAAACTGCCACGTCATGAGTTCGTCTTCTGGAAAGCCCAGCGGGTAGTTTGGGGACATCAAGGTGATTGAAGACTCCCCATTCAGAATGGATTCAATAATGCATAACCCTAAAACAAGAAGAGGGGGGGGAAACCACATGAAACAAGTTGCAATTAATGAAGGCACACTGGCACATCCAGCACCCCAGCGACAGAGTATTTTTATTTTGACAGCAAGATCATCCACTTCAGCTACAGGTTAGGTTATTACAAAACCCTCAGACTAAAACATATACTCAGGTTGACGCTTTTGTCTTCAATTAGAGAAAAGGTAAGGGATATATTAATGCTGCATTTTCAGTTTAGTGGGCTCACCTTTCAAGCATGTGGGCAGAGGCATTTCTTTTTTGGACAGGAAATATCAGAGTTCCTACTTCTGATCCTGGCTTTACAAGAGAAAACATGCAGCCTGACAACTGCTTCTGCTTCACTGGGTTTCGGGAAAAAAAGGATGTGAGCTTTTATGCCAGCACAGAGTGATCTGTCCAAAAACCTCCCAGATCTAAGAAGAGCACTCCAGCAAAGAGCCTCAAATACACATGATAAAACACAAATGTGAACCACAGAGGTGCAAGACGCTTCATGCTTCGATGACTCCTGGCAGAGTGAAGTTGGGTACACAGAGATTACGGTCCTGCTCTAGGACTCCATCGACCATGTGCAACTGTGAGGAGTGCCAGGAGTTACAAAAACTCGTGCTCTAGAAGCTCAAACCTGGACCGGGTTCCTTTTACAACTAATGGCAACAACTGTAGAGTTCAAGTACAGAGCAGGAACACCTCCCAAAGAGCGTTTGTCATGAGATCATAAAGTAAGCCACGGATTGCAGTGTAATATTCCAGGTATTTTAAGATTCTTACACAATGTTTTATGTTCCTGAGCAGGTTGAAACAGATAGGTGTATTTGAGCAGGCTCATGTGCCTTCCAGGCACTGTTCCCCTTTTCCCACATTCCTCTCACGAACACAGGCATTGGTTTGAGGCTCCAGAAGGTAAGGAAGCCGTATTTGAAAATAAACAAACCCAACTATACACTGCAACCAGCAAATAACTCTGGCTCATTCTAATTATGCTATCTAGTCTCACCTAGCTGAAAACACAAAAAACAACAGAGCAGGTATGTTTAAGTTTTAGGAAGTTTGAAGAGACTGAAAGTGAGTAATGTGCACCAAAAGCAGCAACACAATAGTTTTCATAATCAAACTAAGGTATTTTGACCCCAGAAGAGCACCAGCTACCAAACTAAAAACCATACAACGATAACTTTCAGAAAAGATGAAGTGGGAGTCAGGGATAGTAGCACCAAAACTAGGTTACCTGAGAAGAGAGGTTTAAATAATTCTGCTGCAATGTGCACGAGGCGATTACAGGTGACGAAACAATAGATTGTACTTACGTTTTATGGAAGCCCTGTTAGCTATGCTGAAGCCCGAGGTGGTGAGAGGCGAGCCCCACGGGAGGTGCAGAGACATGACAACTCCTCCCAGCAGCTTGATGCGAGACACCGAGCCATTCCTGCAGAAGGTGCCAATGTTGACTGTGGCCGTATCGATACAGCTGTTGATGTCGTAGCTAACGAAATCTGGGCATGTCTCTCCTGGTTCGACCTGTCTTAGCCATGGGGTTGAAAATTTCAGTTCAAGTCCAGCCTTTGTACTCGCCTTCACGTCCCAGATGAAAGTCCTGTTAAGGCGAGGTAGCCCCGGCGGGTAAAGATGAACATCTCCAAAGGGACACGGACCTGACACACAGTCTAAATGTAGAGAGAGAACAGCCATGATACACTCTAGAAAGCATTCAAGTAAACAAGGAATTTGACATTTTCCCCTTCAGTGCTATTTTCACAATATTTAGGTTGCGCTTCCCTTCTACATACATTAAAAGACACTCCTACAACATGGTGACATGCTGGACTCCTAGCTCACGGAGCAGACAGGATAAACCTGCTTTAGTCAGGCTGACTAACAGAAGGGATTCATTGTCTCTGGTATTCCTTCTTGTTTGCTGAAGAATTTAGAAGGTATTTAGTGAATAGGGTAGAGCACTGAATGGGCAAAAGGGAGAGGAGAGCTGGAAATCATGGATCTAGAGAACCAGTTTTGTTCCATCTTGCTCAGAGAATTCCTAGCAAATCATTCATCCTTCAGTTTTCCACTGCTTCCCATGAACTGCATCTTTGTTTCCTTGGTGCCCTGATGAACAACCTGGGCCTCAGATTTTGCAGAAGAGATGAGTAACAACTGCCACTGCAGGATTCTGAGGAGAACTTGGAAAACTTTTCTCTGAAAAATCCATATTATTGGTATTTCAAGCTGGACACTAAAAATAAGCATAATTTAATCTATCTTTAGGATCACACTTAAAAGAAGAAATATCAGAAGTGCATCTTACAAATATATAATGAAATATTGTGAATACTACTATTTGCATGAATCATATGAATAAAACTCCAAAATGTGAAGAGAACTATCCTTGAACACCACCCCAAGAATAAAAGACTTTACTGAAGACTGAATGCCCAATAAAATTTGGGATCTTATTGAGAAGTTGCATGTGTTCATGCCATTCAAGAGTACATTAACATACATATACCAGGGATAACACTCAAACCAAATGAAGCTTTAATCACACCACTTCCAAATTTCCAGTTTCTTGATTTCAGTATTGTTCATTAAATATAAGGAAACACATACATGTCTTCAATGTTTCTGCTGCCCTTATAGACACAATTAAGCTGTTGAAACAAATAATGTGGGTAATATATCACTACCACTGCTCAGAGGCTTTTGACAAGAAAAAAAAGATTCTTTGATGGGTTTATAAACTGTGGGAAAAGGGAAGGCAGCAAGGAATTGACGGAACAAACTATCATTTAACTGTTTCCAAAACAGCCAAGTTAACATTAATTCTGCCAGCCATAATACAGATGATTTGTAACTTGCATAGTTTCAGTAATTCACAGTTATTTATCAGTGTTCAAAGATTTCTTCCAACCCCAAATTACTGGGGATACCTTAATACAGTAACTGGAGAAAAACATATGTAGTTTTACTGGAGGGAGATTACTATTGGGGGAAAAATTATAAAACCCATATCTTACCAATATTTTTCTGAATTTCCATGAAGAAATACTTCTCTGGAGTACTACAAGTGAAGGTAAAAGTCACGTTGTCCCCAGGCTTTATCTTGAGTTCAGACCTAATGACATTTTTAACACGAATTTGACATCTGGGTAAAATACCTGGTCTCAGTTTAATCATAACCGTGACGTTGTCCACTGCACGAAGTGAGATCGTAAAGGAACCTAAGAAAAAGAAAAAAAGAGACTTTTTGTTACTACCACATACGAGTACCACCAGCCTCTCTACACATCCCCAGAGATGTCACATTGTCAGAATGAATATTTGCATCCACATTCTCAGAAGTTTCTGGTGTTGGACCAACAGAAAATGCCTCTGCTCTTCCAGCCCAGTGCAGACAACACAGAAATCTGCTTGCTGCATGTGCCCAGAGAAGTATACATGAAATCTGTGTAGGACCAGTTCTGCTCCAGGTTACCTTCACCAGTGTTATTTATTTATTTCATGTTTAAAAAGTAGCTTAACCATTCCTTTCAAATACCTGTTGTCTCAATTTTGGGTTTTGTTCTGTTATGCCCATCATACAGCCTGCTTCATTTCTGAAGGCACCCATGAAGTTGTAACTCAATTTGGAAAGTTTATTCATCACCAAGCAACAAAGCAAGCCTCAGCTTTAATTGCAAATGATGGTAACAGCTGAATCTCTGGGTATCCCACAACAATTACTGCAGATCAGATGAGGTATTCCGGCAATACCAAAAGCACGTACCAACAGACATGTACACATGTGGTCATGGCCCACTCCCACCCTCCCCACCTTTTATAACTCATTCCCTGAAGGTACAGGACATCCATGCAATGCCCCTCAGCAGCACAGGGGGCATCTGTGGCCCAGGGCTGACCATGTGTGCTTGGATACCTCCTCTCCATCCCTGATGTGGCCATCATAGACTTACGGCTTTTGGGGAATACATAAAAGCCTCAGCAATCTTCACAGATTTCAATCCATGCTCAAGCACTACTGAATGCAGGAGCAGCTCTCTCAGGAAATACTGGAGCCACAGAATAAACTGCTTGTTGAATAATCTTCTACTTTATGGGTAGCGGTTTATCCAACAAGTGGACCAAACCTGACCATCTTCTAAAAATATACATGCAATATAAGACAACAAGAAGCACTGACTGGACCTTCAAGATTACTAGAAAGGTTATTAACATCAGTTTGATGCTTAGCAAAGATTGGGCTCAGCCCTGGCTTAAGTGAGTAAAGTTTGCATTGATCAACCACATCCCAACCTCAGGTGAAAATCTGAGGATAAGTCACTTGGTAAGTTTTCTGCTATTTGTTTTCACTGCTCTCCCTTTCTTATTTCAGTGTATAGAACATGCAGTCACGGCATCTACAGCACTTGTGCTTTTAGTGTTTACGAAAAAAAAAGTATATATATATATTAAAAAAGGAGATTTAGAAATAAGGGTACTGCAAGTTCTGTTCAAAAAGGTCTGTTCCTTGAGTGGGACATCACGCAGGGCTGCATGACAGAGCTCTGCTCATGTGTCAGGTTGGGAATCCTCTTGCTCATTAACCCCAATAAAGAGAGATTTACCCTAGTAAGCCCAGCAGTGCAGCCACCCCAGGAGAGCCCCTGCAGCCATTCCCATCGCCAGGTGCCAGCAAGGCGCGGGAAAACAGCTGGCTCGGAAATGCACATCTGCAGGGCACCCCAGGGTTCTGCCCGACTGCTCACCGGGCATCCAGCCTGGCCCCTGCCAGCAGCTCTTCCCACCGAGGCAGTAGGAACACTGGCCAAAGCCCAGAGACTCACCTGGTGAGGGTTGTGGGGAGCAGGGCTGAGCAAACCAGGGGAACCCTGGCTCAGCAGAGCCCTCGCACCGCAGATGAGCACACCGCAGACCCTCAACCAACCTCCCCACCCAACTCAAAACTTTAGCCATCACAGCTGCAGGCAGAAGCGTATTGCATTAGTGACTCAGCTTCCCACAAAACCCACTTGTCCTATTTTTAAACCTCCCTTTTAAAAATCTCCTGATTTTTACAGCAGTCTCATGGTTTTGCAGCGCCTGACTTTCATTGCCATGTTTTGCAAAAGCCCAAGGGATTGAGCAGTCAGCATGGGCTACTGTCCTTCCCTGCCACCGGGAACATCACAGCTTCAGGTTTGAAAACACCAGGCATCAAAAATCTCACTGCTAGGGGGACTAGGGCAGAAAAGAGTATTCAGAGATACCCCATCATGCTTTTGTTGGTCTTGAGCCTTTTTCCAGGCTTTCCAGCTTTTCTACACAATCTTGGAGTCAAAAGAATTGGCAAGCCCTTGAAACTGCCTTACCTATTTGCCTCCAAGATCAAAGGCTTTAAATAAAAGCCTCAAACACCACGAGGCTAGAAAAATTTCTGCATATACTCATAATGACGAGTTTACTGACCCTCTACTACCATTATTGAGAACCTGGTCACTGAGTAACTTTCCTACAACTTAAGTGACAGGACAGTCCTCTCACCTGAGGGCCCACACTGAAATCCCTTGCTTCTTCCAATGGCTGACTACTCAATGTCTGTGTTTCTGCCTTAGAAATGCTTTCACAGAGGTTTTCAATGTGGGTTTTCCCAAGAAGAAAAAAAAAAAAAAAAAGAAACCACCAGACTGACTAGGAACTGCTTTGTGCAATGACCCTCCAAGCACACAAGGGACAATTGCGGGGGCAATGTCCACAGGGTGTGGAAAATAAGAGTAATGCAAAGCCAAACTAGGGCTGCTCCTCCTCGTTCTTTGGGAGGAAGCAGTTTTCAGAAGAGAAACTGAAACAATTACTTCCAGTCTAGTCCTGAGTTTTGTCTTTCATACTTCTGGACACTTTTTGGGTTTTTTTATTTATCATGTTTAGTGCACAAAATAGGCTTTGACCATGATGGTCATCATTTTTCCGATGTTTATGTCATCCAGATATGAAGTGTTAATAGCATAATACCAACAGTTAATAGGGACAAAAGAGACTTCTTTCTTGCATACGGTAATTGTCACACTCGTCTACAGTTTATAAGTATTACTGAAAAGTCTGTTCCTCACTTTTTCGACAAATAGTTATCACTCCTCCTTTTCCCATCCCTGGGACAGCACAGCCACACAGCCAACCTGGCAGGACAGAGAAGCACGAGGGCCACTAACAGCCAGCACTTCTGCACCAAATGCTCACACATGGTTCCAAGACCATTTTTAGTCACGAGGATTAAGTTTAAGCATAACCTTAAGCACGTGACTAGCTTTAAAATAAAACAAAATACATGCCCTGAGCTGAAACCAATGAACAGAAGTTGTCAACATTTTGAATGGTGTTTTGAAATAAGCAAAGACTTCCTACAAAGGTCAAAACAAAGCATCATCTTTCCCAGCCCTTGAAAGCTGCTTTCTGTTTTTTTTTGTCCCTCACCCCTTTTCCAGACTTCATGAACATGTAGAAATTCATCTGGTCTTCCTGCAAGATGATCAAATCCCTGTCATCTCAGTATCACTTCCCAGCATGAACATGGCCCATGCCTCAGCTTTCCAAAACAGGACTTGCCCAAAATCAGAGAAATGCTGTAATAATCAATATAGCAGCATCCCAGGAGGCAATGAGGATGCAGATCTGTACTCAGTTAGGCTCAGCAAACCTGTCTGCTAGAAGCCCGCACAAGGACAGACACCTAGATTATTGCATAAACAAACAACCTGCTAAAATGAAACTCCACTGGTAATAATTTTGGCCAAAAAAGGAGAGCACTGTGCTGTAATGTCAACAGCAGCCAGCTGCTAATGATGTGCTAAGCTACATTAGACTATCAAATCTAATTTTCATATGAAAAATAGAAGAAAAGAATCATGCAGGAAGTATATCCAGTGATCTCAAAATCACTAAAAATAAATGACTAAATGGCTAAACCCCCCAAACTATAGCCACACACAGGCAGCAAAATAGAGACACTACTCAAAAAGCACCTTTACAAAAGCTCTGCAGTAAACATGAGTGAGTCTCTTCGTGACTCACACTAATCTGTCTTTGTCTATGATTCCCACTGCATGCCTTTTTATTAGGATTACCAGTAACTGTACACGTTTCTTGTAAAGAAGGAATTTCCATGCCTTGTTAATGCTGCACAGGGATGACACACAGGATATCTAAACCAACAAGAAAAAGCATCTCCAAGCTGGATCTAGTTTCTGTCTACACAACAATGAAATTGCTGGGCTAGAAGATGTCAGAGGTAAAGCTTCCAGCCTTGAGCTGCTTCACAGGCTGAGACACACATCTGATCTCACCCAAAATTTTTTCCCTCTAAGCAATTACAGTTTTGCAGCCTCCCTTGGCTATTTCTTGAACTGCCCTAATCTCTATCTGCACCTTCCCTGGCACAACTGGATTTCACTGCTGCTCGTCCTCATTTAAGACTCCACCAGTATCCCTTTATCACTAAAGTAATGCTCGTCTCTGTGCAAATGCACCTTGGCCAGCTTTTTCTCAACAGTATGACTTTTCCAAAACTTTCATCAATTTTATTGCTCAGAGCTCTCCGACTTGATTTAGAAACAAATTGCATAGTGTAAAACAAGTCAGATTACTCCACACAGTTTAGCCTAAATTTATCTGCTGTGGTTGCATGTGACACTAATCTCCTAGTATTTTTTAATATGTATATATAAATGTCAAAAGGACATTTTTTTCTGTACAAGGGGGGTTGCAACATAGAAAACAGCTGGAGAGTAGCAGAGCCAGTGGCACTCACAGAGAGCGTGCATATGTACGTACAAGGAAAGGACTTGGTAGGACAGCAGTTTTTATGGCTGTGTACAGTGCCTTGCTAAACAAAGCAGGAGTGAGAACAGAGTCCAAATAGTTTTGGCTAGAGGGCTGCACTTTATTGCAGCAATTTATCCATAAGAATCTATTGATTGTTTCACATGACTTCACTGGATGTATTAAAACAACCGAAAAAACCCCAGACAGACCAAGAAACCGAAACCCACAAGACTCACCACCAAAAAAAAAAAAAAAAAATCAGACGTTAATTTGTCCCAAAATAATGTACAAAAACTCTTGGTTTGCTCATTCTGGTTAAATCATGGGCTTGTTCCACTACAGCCATTTTTAATAAAAACCAGTCAGATGGGGCTGACTCAGACACCATTCACGAGCTGGCAGCAGCTGGAGGAGACGGGCTGCTGCA